GGGGGGGGGGACAAGAAAAAGAGCAATTAGGGGGGTGGCTGAGAAGAAGGTCCAAAAAGAGAAGGGAAGATGGTTATCTGTGAGCGGTGACAAGGTAGGTCACAGGCACAGGACATTGCCAACACCAGCAGCACAGTGGCAACGACCTTGCTGTCACTGGGTGCCAGCCACTCACATGCTTTCAGAGTTAAAGTTCCAAGCACTTGGCTTCTAAGGGTGTAACTTGGGAGCCTTTGTTATGCTAGACTGTGTGACAAGAACCAGGCACCAACAGTCACAGCAGCCCCTTCGCACAAGGAGGCAGAACCAGTACCCACAGTCGCAGACAGCCTCACAGACCCACTGAGTGTCTTGAGTGGAAATCTAAGTCTACGTAGTGTACAATATGATGTGTGTGTGCCTCAGAGGTACCACCAAAGAGCAGGGAAAGAGGGGGGCTGTTGCTTCCCACTCTGTGCACAATGCGACAAAGTGGCCCACCACACACTACTTAAGAAACTGCAAAGACTGCAGCTTTGGCAGTGACCTCCTCAGTTCACAGCTAAATAGACTCCCACACTCCGAGGAGAAAGTCTATCCGTGTTTGTTTGCACGTGGAGCACAAACTGTGCTGGGTAACTGATGAAGCATCCCTGACCTGGGCAATCGCTGTCTCCAGTCAGGGTACCAGCTTCAGCGCCTTTCAGACACTCTTAAGTTTTCCCAAGACCCTCCATTTGCCAAGACAGTCTAAGAACCGTCTCAGAGCTTATGGTCATCTCCTCAAGTGGGAGCCATTTTGAAAGCTGGTGGGCTACTCTAAAATGTTCTGTTTCTAGACTTGAAAAGTTTACGAGGTAAACACCCTTCAAAACCATTTTGGGAGATATCCCCCAAGAGTACCAGAGAATACGAGTGGGGGCAGCATCTCATACAACTCGGCCTGAACATCTGCTCATCCTGTATCACACAAGCAGCCAGGAGTTAAGACCCCAAGTATCCCTCCTGCAGCAGAATCAAACCCAGACAGGGGCAGCTGCTGTGTACTTCAGAAGCTCCAAGCTGTCTCTTACCTCCTTCCCTCCAGGATGAAGTGGGGTGGCCTTCCTTCTCTTCAAGGCTAATCCTAACCGTGGGACTTTGGACTCCATCCTCCTCTCTGGGCAAGGCTTCGGCAGCAGCCCTCCGGGCGGCTCTCCTTCCTTCCACCTGGCCCTGACTACTGGCTGCTCGCCCAGGGCGGCATGCTCGGGTTCCTCCCCCTTCAGACAGACAAGAAGCACCTCATTTGGCCTCAGCCGTCCTCACACCTAACACGCTTCTCTGCTGAGGGCTCCTGACAATCTTCTGCGCCTACCTACCTGCCTGGCCGTCCACAGCCGTCTGGCGGGGCAACTCTGGTCACCAGGGATGCAATGTCCTGCCTCTGAGCCTCATCAGCCACACCCTCTGTCCCTTGTAACTTTCCAGTCCCTTGGCCTCCACAGCTGGCCCTCAGCTCTTCCTCCAGTCCCTGGTGCCAAAGGAATCTTCACAACACTCAATCCTGGAAACCACGCAGATCCCAGCCCAGGCCTTCTATTCTCTCACTATCCCTTTTCCCAGGTGCCCCCTCCCCCGCAGCTGAACAGATTCACCCAGGACACTAAACATTAGACCTAGTGATGGCTAGTGTGTGTGTGTGTGTGTGTGTGTGTGTGTGTGTGTGTGTGTGGTGTTACAATCCATATCTTTTAAGCATCCCAGTTTACTTTCTGTCGCTATGATACCAGCTCCCACCCTGCTTCTCAAAAGTCTGAACTCAAGAACAGTTCGCTTTCTATGTATGATCTTCTCCCGACCGACCGTCGCTTACCCTACTGAACTGAGCTCCCCTCTCACCAGCCTCCTCCTTCACTCTCTTACGTTCTAGATTAAGCTGAAGAAACCTGGGAGCCACACCCCTCTCTCCTCTAGATCCGTAAGCCCAGATACCAGGAGTGAAGACGCAAGTCACCGGAGACCCCAACAGGAGCACACTAGACATCACACAGAACGACCTCTCTCAGACAGCACGCCTTGGCCACTCCTGAGAACTGAGGGCAGAGCCAGCCCAGGAACAGCAACTGCTTCAGGCAGCAGAGCAACCAGCCTTCTGCTCGATCCTCGTGAGCAAAGCTTCGGATTCCTTTTAGACTTAAAAGCAACTTACTGCCCACCCACCCAACCTGCCCCCAATACTGCAGAGGCCAATGAAGGGACGTTGTTACTAGAATACCTGTCTACCAATCCCACGTGCCCTTGAACACCCCCCCCCCAACACACAAATGTACCTTAACTCTGCCCAGCCATAGGTAAGACCCAGCTCCTGGACCCCAATTGAAGAAGCCCTGACATATACATGAGGTCTCCCCTAGCCCAAGGCCACATTTGCCTAGCACCCACAGAATCATTGGCAGTTGTCTGGCCTGCATTGTCTGTCACTATGAAGCAGCTAATACCCGAAGTGATGCTGGTCACCAGGCACTGGCCCAATGACCATGTCCTGGCCTGCTCAGAGCCACTAGGGAACATCTCCCATACCTACTCAGGAGAAAACAATCTGTAGCAGACATTCCTGAGATGACCAGTTCACAGCCCCCTGATACAGTCTAGTGCTATACGACGAGAGAAGGGAGACAGCAGGAGAGGAGCATGCCGTGCATGTGCGTGTGACACAGTCCTTGACATCAGAAGGCAAACCAACAGCTTGCTACATAAACAGCCGACAAGTAACCCAGCCCCACGCACCTGCATCTGCTGCTCTAGCAAACACCAAACTCACTGTGGCCCCAGAACCTGGGCCTGCTTCAGGATTTCTTCAAACCTGTACAGCTTACAAGGTCAAGCCTTAAAGGACCACACAGCTCTTAACTGAGGTCTCTGGGGACACCTCCATCAGCACACACACACACACACACACACAAGTCCGTTCTAGCCAACTGGAGCAGTTGCATGGGCCTAGTCACCTGCTGTCCTCATAACTTCCAGAGCCACAGCTGACCATAGCCACAGCCCTAGCAAATACACACACACACACACACGATCATTACACACCATGTACACTACACAGACAGACAGACAGACACACACACACACACACACACGATTGGAAAGGTGTGATCTGAATAAGAATGGCTCCCATATGTTTGAATGGTGGGACTCTTTGAGAAGGATATGTGTGGTCTTGGTGGAGGGTGTGTGTCACTAGGAGTAGGCTTGAGGTTTTAAAAGGCTCCTGCCATCCCCTGTGAGCTCTCAGTTGTCCCTGCCACCAAGGATCTACCTACAACTTTCAGTGTAACTTCTTGACCTTCACTCATATGCAAACCTTATCTTGGCTCTCTTTAATCTGGAACAAGGTTTAGAAAAGCTCAAGTATTTATTACACTTAATCATATGAAGGTCAGAACCCTTAATAACTACTAATCAAAGTAAACAGCAAATAGTGTTCCAGAGCCAGACCCCAACCTGGGCTCTGAGAACACTGCTGAAACTTTCTGCCACGTGCTCCAAGTACCCAGGAGAGCCTGGAGTCA